TAATTACTGGAGTTATTACCCTTGGTTTCATTAATGCGATGCATGCGTTCCATGATGTTGTATTGCACTCATTGATCTACCAGTTATGTTGAATGATTTCTCTTTTAATATCAATTACTCACAAATACTTCATATATTTCAATCATACAAACAACTGCTCATTCAATGTGTGACGGGCGTATTATATACTGCTCGCGGTAACCTTGTTCTGAATAGCCAAGAGGCCTAGGGTGATGAAATTTTACCAGTAGCAACTAGCATGGTGAAACAAATGGCTACCAAGTTTGTGTAAAAGAATGACCTTGACCCTCTTCTCAATAACAAAAGTCACAGGGTGATGATATTTGGGATAAGGGTCTACCAAGTTTGTTCAACTGAATGATCTTGTTAGACTTTCACTCGGGTCAAAAATGTTTTCAAATCTTTTAAAAGGTTTTTAATAACAAGGAGACATAGGTAAGGATATTCACTCTGTACCTTTTTTATGTTTTTAGGTCACCTGAGACAAATTCTCAAGTGACCTATTGCGATCGCCTTTTGTCTGGTGTCGTGCGTCCGTTAACAATTTACATTTGAAATTTTGCAGAAAAATAGTGGCCGGTTTGGTCCCCAGCCCCCAGGGGCCTGAGGGGCGGGGCCAAAAAGGGTCAAATTGACTAAAATTTCAAAAATCTTCTTCTCAATACCCAGATATGGTAGAATCAAATACTCTTCATAGATGGAAGGGTCTTGAGGTTTATGACCCTAGGGTCTCACATTTACCCCCTGGGGAAAGGGGGGGGGGGGCAAAATTTTTGATGGTTTATAATGGCAAATGATACTTTGAATATTACATGTTTATAACTAGATTGGAATTCTTGGTCCACTTTTGAGCTTGAAAGTGTGAGATTGATAGCAGGTGAGTATTGCAGGCCCATTGAGCCTATTGTTTCTGGTTAAAAAATTATGCATGTGTGCGCTATTGTCAAAAATTATCTTTTTTTTTATTTCAAGTTCCATCTTCTCAAACAAGAAGTCCATCTGGTTATGGCACCAAACAGACTGCAGTGTCTCGTGCAAATAACCATGCAGCAGGAGACAAGGGCTCGGAGAAAGTATCAGAACTTAACCAAAAGGTAATTATAAGGACATAGTATATCAAATATAGAGAGTGTCAGAGCTTAACCAAATGGTAATTATAAGGACATAGTATATCAAATATAGAGAGTATCAGAACTTAACCAAAAGGTAATTATAAGGACATAGTATATCAAATATAGAGAGTATCAGAACTTAACCAAAAGGTAATTATAAGGACATAGTATATCAAATATAGAGAGTATCAGAACTTAACCAAAAGGTAATTATAAGGACATAGTATATCAAATATAGAGAGTATCAGAACTTAACCAAAAGGTAATTATAAGGACATAGTATATCAAATATAGAGAGTATCAGAACTTAACCAAAAGGTAATTATAAGGACATAGTATATCAAATATAGAGAGTATCAGAACTTAACCAAAAGGTAATTATAAGGACATAGTATATCAAATATAGAGAGTATCAGAACTTAACCAACAGGTAATTATAAGGACATAGTATATCAAATATAGAGAGTATCAGAACTTAACCAAAAGGTAATTATAAGGACATAGTATATCAAATATAGAGAGTATCAGAACTTAACCAAAAGGTAATTATAAGGACATAGTATATCAAATATAGAGAGTATCAGAACTTAACCAAAAGGTAATTATAAGGACATAGTATATCAAATATAGAGAGTATCAGAACTTAACCAAAAGGTAATTATAAGGACATAGTATATCAAATATAGAGAGTATCAGAACTTAACCAACAGGTAATTATAAGGACATAGTATATCAAATATAGAGAGTATCAGAACTTAACCAAAAGGTAATTATAAGGACATAGTATATCAAATATAGAGAGTATCAGAACTTAACCAAAAGGTAATTATAAGGACATAGTATATCAAATATAGAGAGTATCAGAACTTAACCAAAAGGTAATTATAAGGACATAGTATATCAAATATAGAGAGTATCAGAACTTAACCAAAAGGTAATTATAAGGACATAGTATATCAAATATAGAGAGTATCAGAACTTAACCAAAAGGTAATTATAAGGACATAGTATATCAAATATAGAGAGTATCAGAACTTAACCAACAGGTAATTATAAGGACATAGTATATCAAATATAGAGAGTATCAGAACTTAACCAACAGGTAATTATAAGGACATAGTATATCAAATATAGAGAGTATCAGAACTTAACCAACAGGTAATTATAAGGACATAGTATATCAAATATAGAGAGTATCAGAACTTAACCAACAGGTAATTATAAGGACATAGTATATCAAATATAGAGAGTATCAGAACTTAACCAAAAGGTAATTATAAGGACATAGTATATCAAATATAGACTAGAGTATCAGAACTTAACCAACAGGTAATCATAAGGACATAGTATATCAAATATAGATAGTATCAGAACTTAACCAACAGGTAATTATAAGGACATTGTATATCAAATATAGAGAGTATCAGAACTTAACCAAAAGGTAATTATAAGGACATTGTATATCAAATATAGACAGTACTGAACTTAACCAACAGGTAATTATAAGGACATATACTTACTTATCATTAGGACATTGATCATCAGGACATAGTGTATCAAATAAGGACATAGTATATCAAATATAGAGAGTATCAGAACTTAACCAAAAGGTAATGATAAGGATTTGATCAAGCAACAAAAACATGTTATGTAACTCGGTGATAGGTAAAATTGAACCCTTTTATATTGACAAATATGAAAGTCTTTGCACCCTGTGGTAGCATATGTGTATATAATAAGATCACCTCTTTGTCATATTTATTTTACAAATATGCCCAGTATGTATACACAAGTAAAATGCTGAACTGTTTTCAATTTATTGTTGAATATCTATATTTTTGTACAGGTTCAGGATTTACAGCTCACAGTGGAAGGTCTTGAAAAGGAGAGAGATTTCTACTTTGGAAAATTGAGGGATATTGAAGTGCTGTGTCAGGACCATGAAGACAATCAGCATATAAAAGGCATTATGGATATCTTATACCAGACTGAGGTATGTTGGTTTTAGTGGTGACTTTATTAACTCGTATTAAAATATGTGTATATTCACAAAGTTCCCACACTGTTTTTTGCACATTCATGATTGATAGCTACAAAGATGTGGTCTAGGTAGCAGTATACAGTAGAAATGGCCCGACTCTGATAAACAGGGCACATGTCGAGGAAATGTAAACACAGGGGATTTACCCTACACAACACATGTATACATGTATATATATTTGTAAACTGCATAACATTTACAATACATATAAAGTACTGAGAAGTGTATAAACCTCTTTTTTCTATGTATGTCACTTGTGTGAAAACCATGGTTACCACATCTAAAATTACCAAAAAATGTCAAAAATTGCTATTTTTAACCCAAAATTTGACCCCCGCAACTAGTAAATTTTTTCCTAAGCTCTGTCTGAAATTAAAAATTACCTACCTGGTTGCAGAATTATCTGGGTCCCAGTAAAGTTGTAAAACAAATCTTCTTTCTCTTTTACAAATATGAAGCTCACATAGCCCACTTCATCATGCTTATACCAATTTTAGTACAGTTTTATTTTTATATTTTTTTTACATATCATTATACAGGGGTTAGCCATTTAGCAAAAATATCACCCATGGCCACAACCCTCTACTGTATACTGCTACCTTATACATCACTTTCTTTTCCCGAAATTTAATTTAAACCTTTTAAATGTCTGGAAAATGAGACAATGAACACAACAATGTATCCGTTTCCTTTCTCACTTTGATAGTGACCGAGTAATATGAATTCTCCTGACAGGTTTATTTACCAATTCTGCTCTCAAACTACCAACAAAGGGAGGTAATCTGAAAAATGAAAACTTGAATCGGTTTGTAGTTTTCATAAATAAAATTTCTTTTAGGGTGAAATATGATGCTTTGAGAAAATGTGCATGTGAAAAACAAACAGTACAGTGATACTATGATGTTACTGTCTTGTTTGATGACGTCATAGTAACTGTGATGTCATCATAACTATGATGTCATCAATGGGCATCTATGACATCATCGAGGATCACTGATATCAAAAAATTGAACACTAGGAAACCCATCTCAACAACAAACTAGCAACAGACACACTTCCCGTAACCGATGAACAGCACAGAAATGTCAGATATTCTGAAAATCAGACAAGTGCCACCATAGCAACCGTCATTTACTTTCCTCGCCTAGAATTGACAGTGACCCTCAGAAATTGTTCATTTAGCATATTTTGCTAGAAAAAAAAAGATTTTCTTCAGCTGTAATTATGGAAATAAAATTTATTGACATTACTGACTTTGCTTATTTAATCTGTATGCTGAATCAAGTGGAAAAAAAACATCTAAAATAGTGTAATTAGAATGAAAACAGATATTTTACCCATTTTCAATAAATACAACTTTATGTGTTAGTAACCATGGCTACCGGGTGCTGAACTGAGTGAAACAGACTGAAATCTAGTATGAATGCATCAGGAGATAGCCTGTGAACTATTTGATGTTTGGTATCAACTTTACAAATAACACAATTGACACATATGTGATGAATTGCAGAATTTCACAGGGCCTGTGAAAGCGCGAGTTACCCCTCTTTATACATCCACAGGTAACAGGCTATCGACCTATATATTGACCTATCTATGTAACGGGGGTTTTGGCGTTTTTGAGTAGTTTTGAGTATTAATGAATGAAAGTGAAGCTGAATCAAGCATAAAAAGGCATTTTTTCAGAAAAAATCAAGTTCTATGTGTATATGGTAGCAGTATACAGTAGAAATGGCCCGACTCTGATAAACAGGGCACATGTCGAGGAAATGTAAACACAGCAGATTTACCCTCCACAACACATGTATACATGTATATATATTTGTAAACTGCATTACATTTACAATACATATAAAGTACTGAGAAGTGTATAAACCTCTTTTTTCCATGTATGTCACTTGTGTGAAAACCATGGTTACCACATCAAAAATTACCAAAAAATGCCAAAAATTGCTATTTTTAACCCAAAATTTGACCCCCGCAACTAGTAATTTTTTCCTAAGCTCTGTCTGAAATTAAAGATTACCTTCCTGGTTGCAGAATTATCTGGGTCCCAGTAAAGTTGTAAAACTTGATTTTTTTGCAATTTTGCGTCGTGTGCTGTTGTCAAAATTTTAACTCCTGTAAAGCTAGCTTTTCATGTGTACGCACCCTTTCGGATTATGGCCAAAATTTTATTCTCGAACCAAACAAATCTTCTTTCTCTTTTACAAATGTGAAGCTCACATAGCCCACTTCATCATGCTTATACCAATTTTAGTACAGTTTTATTTTTATATTTTTTTTACATATCATTATACAGGGGTTAGCCATTTAACAAAAATATCACCCATGGCCACAACCCTCTACTGTATACTGCTACCCTAGCATTACTTTCGTGCCAATACATAGGTAGAAACGTTAAGGAAATGTCTGCAGGAGAATGGATCAGACCTGATTGAATATTAACTATAGTCCCACATAGATCTTTTCAATGATTGATGTCCATAGCTGTTTATTGTCCCTATGTTTTAATTCTAGGGAGAACAAGACACTGACAACCATACTGAAAATTGAAAACACCACACGTGGGATTGTATGTAACATTTCATTCATGTTTGGTGCACCCAAAACTTAATCCTCTCGCATTCCTGCCAGATAACTAATTTTTCATGAGTTTTACTTGCAGGGAAAACAAATTCATTTTTTATTTTATTTTTTCAGCGTAATCATAAGCCTTCTGCAGACATATAAATTTTCCTCCAGAATTTTCAGTGCTATTATTCTAAATTATTAGGGGTCCTGATGCTTTAACCTTCCTCAGGTATCACCAGCGCTTTGTATACTGCACATATCTGAGTCTATGTGTGGAAAATACACATTGTGATTCACAACTTGCCTTATAGAAATGTTGATACTTTGTTAGCTTTTTCCAGTTAATGTTAAAAGTTTGTGGGTGGAGGTGTTCGAGTCTGAACCTGCAGAGTATCATCTTAATGAAGCTTCTGTTCTTAGTATTGGTAGGGTGTTTCCCCTCAGTGAGACTCTTTGTGAGTTAATGATTGGGAAGAGAGAGAAATAGGGTGCCATTGACCCCATTTTTCCATAAATCAGTGCACCATTTTCAATTAATATAGGCCATGCCAAAAAAATTATGTGCCCTAGAAACAAGTACCGTTCATTTTTCATGACTTTGTATCCACTGGCACAACATGTCTTTCAAGATACATTAATTCTGTCTATCACGATCACCTAACACTGTTACATTAAATAAATATGACAGATATTCAATCAAGTGATTATTCAATACATGTATACACATTGTTTCTGTCATACAGAAATCCTGATGATTAGCTAGATTTGGGACATTTTCTGTGGTACATTCATATAATCTTGCTGGTTGCTTATGAGAGCCATGCTGTATTTCTGATTTTTGGTCTTTTGTTTGTCAAAGATCAATTTAAAGGTCACTGTGACTAAAAAATAATTTTCTTGTCAAGATTCTAACCTTAGAACAAATGATTACACGAAGCTCAGAATTGTGTTTGGGTTGCCCTAAAGATTAGGAGGATCCAATTAGTAATAGGTTCCTTCGTCAAAGGTCAAGGTGACTAGTATAGAAATCCTTTGTGTATCGGTAACAAGTTTTTAAGGAGGATATACTGCCCCTGGTGGATCTGACTCTTGTTTATTGTATATAATGACTGACAGCTTCTCAAAGATTCAATGTTTTGTTTGCAAAGGTTGGCCAAGTATAAATGTTTCTTATTTCAATACAGACAAACTTAGATATTTGAAGTGTGCAAACCCATAGTGAGTCTATATGACACACCAAAGATAGTTTCTATACATTGATTTTTAAATATGTGCAAATTGAGCATGGTGCACATCCTGCTTAACTACTGGACTAATTTTCATTACTGAGACTATTGGTTTCTATTTTTTCACACATATTATAATTATCTCTTTCCACATGTCAGTTTTGATGGATACATCATTTTCTGCTGGATTTGTTGTAATGATAAATTTGTAAGGCCACCTTTGACAAAATCTCATTTTACCTAGTTGCCTTTTTGTCTGTTGCTGTCCGTCAGTTAACAAAACACATTTTTAACATAAGGGCCTGAGGGGCCAGAGTCGAATTTGCTGACATTGCAACAATCTTCTTTAGATTCAGATAATGAAATAACCAGAATCAAATACTCTTCATGGACAGAAAGGTCCTAATGTGAATTTGATTACCTTCAACCATCACTAATCAGGGTCTTTGATCACAGGGTTTGACAATAATATCATTGTACAAATGGCGTGCTATTAAACATTTTACCTTTACTTTGTTTAAAATATAACAATTAATTGGTAGAACCAAGTTCTTTAGTGTACAGGACTATGAAATTCACCAGGCCATATATATATATATACTCCTAGTTGATATGTGTTTTTTTTTTTAGATTTTAACTAAATGCAGTTGAAGATTTTAAAGCTTACAATTTGAGTACTAATTGATGAAGAAACAAACTTTTAATTTTTGTAGGATGGCTTTGCACCACCAGAAGATGAAGTTGGCAACGAAATCGATAACGGAGAGGAAGAAGAATATTAGTTGACCATCGCTAAAGACTGATGTATATATTTTTGTGGCCAACCCTCCTTACATCCAAGTTTTGGACTGATATAATAGGGTGATATTTGTTTGAGATCTTGGAAGGTTGTAAGGAGAGAGTGGTCAGCTGAGGACACTACAGACTTCCTTCAGATACACACATTCACACACAGAACGAAAGGAAGAATGAATGCAAGGAAAGAATCTACTTTGACGTGATAACATTAGCTGGACATACTGTAGTGTACCTGGTTCTGTACATGTGGACACATTGATACAGAACGAATGTATCTGTCTCTATGCTAGGGCTTTTTTAGGGTTGGACTGTGTCATCTATCAGTATACAAGGTCAGAAGTGTTATAAATATACCTAGTGCTACAACATGCAAACAGCAAATGGTGTTTGCTTCATGATTTGTAATTTTTGTCAAAATGTTCATTTTTTTGTGATAAAGATTGAGATCTGTGTTCTTTTTGCTAATTTCCTGTTAAATCAAACACTGGTGTAAATTATTGCTGTTTTCTACACCGTTAAGAAAACTGCTTAACTTGATTCCCTCCGTTATCGTTGTCAGAAATGTTTTCAGTACACATGCATATTTCGCTAAATCACAAGATGGAAAGTCATAGAATGAAATAATTTGGGTGATAATGTGGTTGAGCTCTATTGATGTTAATTCATCTTACCATGTTGTCACTTGAACTTGGGAATGAAGTGGAATGAATTAACATGCAGAACCTTTTCAATCCCAGAATTTGCAATCAACTGCTTTTTGTAGAACCATTATTTTCTCTGTGTTATTGGGTCTTTTTTCAACCAGATACTAAACAAGGGATAAGATTTGTATTATTTGTGTGTTGGTGTTCAGTTGGTAGTTGTTTAAGGAAGAGAATCATTTTAATTCTCAATCACTTTGTTCATGTATTGGAAATTAGATATTCGAAGAATCACAATAAATAGCAAAGTAAAAGACATGTTGGGTAATTTAAACCCTCGGTGTGATCACTTTAAAACTATCAGCTTGAAGCCAAACATATTTGAAAAGATATTTCAGTAGATATGTCTTGAGGCAAGTATTTTAGTTTGCTTAAACTATCAATATTCATTGTCTCAATTAAAGAAATCCTGTATTTTGAAACATCAGGGTAGTCCTATGACAGTGGATCTGCACAATAGTCTTAATATTTGCCATTACCTACTTGAGAATGCTGATAAAGATGCTTCTTCTTGTTGTGAAGTGGGTTAAAATGCTTCTCTAGAATTGAGTTTGTTGGTCACTTGTTATGTTACGCTTGATGGTGTCTTGTTGATAGAGATGACTTGATGAGATTTCATCACTCTGAGGGAGATGCATCTGACCTGAGATGCACAAGCTGAGTTCTGTCGTATCGGTTGCTTTTTATACTTTTCGTACAATTTTGCTTGCCGTTACAACTGGAAAAGTGTATTGATGGTTTGTGGAGGCTTGGTCAACATTTTGGGTGATGCATAGTTATAAAATGTAAATTATTTATCATTTAAATCAAAATTAGGGTGTCATTATAGTGCTAATTGTTACTGTTTAAAATATATGTGTATTTGTACTCTCAAATATTCATTATGCTAATGGTGTTTTTACAATCACTGGATTTTTCCTAAATGTTCGATTTTTAATAAGCTCCGTGATGTGCTATACATACAAGTGAATGCTAATAATTCAGAGCCAATCACAGGATTTCCTGTGGCTGTCAAGTTTTTGAAAAGGTTTCTCCTACTTAGTTTAAAGTTACGACTTGCAGAACTGACGGTGAGGCCACTGTAAGTATAACATAAAGGTTACAGGATACAGCATTAACATGTTCTATTTATAAGTATTTTATAATATGCAATTTCGCACTTAAGTATACCGGTAAATTGTTTCATATATAGTATAGGATTTTTTTTAAACTGAAGGTTTAATAAAATATTGTCTGTTCAAAATTAAATATTGGCAATGACAGTGACAATGAATCTCAATATGCTACCAGATTTTAAAGTTGTTCTAATTGGTAAGTGTACAAATTATTAATTGCTTCATTTCTGGATGGAATGGTTTTAACTTGGGACATACAATTTCTAAAATTTTGAGAAGCTCGTCAAATAGTTCAAATTTAGAAATTGGAAATGAAATGGTAGATTTGTATTTAATGTTGGAATTGTACAACATGACAATAGAAGCTTTTCATGGTTTGTCAGTATTTTGATTACATTGTCATTTCAATCCTAAAATACATTTTTGAGAAAAAGGGAAAATTTATGGCATTATTTCCTTGGTTATAAAGTTGCAGATATTTGCTTTTTTAACATTTTGCAAAATTCATTGTTTATAGTCAATATACTTTAATCTGAATACATTTTATATGATATTTATGTACTCGGTTTGTGATTACCACTTATGTATTATATCTTAAAGTAAATAACTGTTCAGCATGCATACTTTTGTTTCTCAGTTGAGAAGAAAATCCTGTATAAATGTTAACTTCTTGTTCACAATTTCAATGTTTCTATTGCAAGAATTGTAATGCATAAAGCCATTTTAAAATAGCCGAAATGTTCAAAAAGAGGATAATAATAAAAAAATAACACCAAAGCAAGATATACATGATCGTTAGTGTTTTCTTCTATCAACTCTGTGTTCTTGAAGTTTACGTACTCTTGATTCGCATGATATTTCTTTCCAAAATTTAAGTAGAGTGATATGATGTAGGACACAATGCTAGGTAGAACACCTTAGTATGGCTATAAAATCGACGATATTGGTACCATCTTTTGTTAAAGCAAGTCAGATCTAATAGAAGATTCAATTTAAACAGGAAACAGTTAGCATTGACCTCCCATAACATAAAAAAATAAACACAGAAATTTGGTGCCCGAATTGAAATTGTCAGTTTATGTCTGACAAATCACGAGAAGAGTGAAATACAAATATACAACATGTTTATTAATGTCACATAATCAAGGCATGAATATATCATCACACAAGTTACACAAAAACACATTTGGCGATAAGGGCAAACTCAGCTATAAGTTATTCTATTTGCCGACCTTTGTTCCTCCTAACAGGAAATGCTTATATAGATCTAGTTGATAACACGAAGGTGTATCATAACATGATATGTAGGATTAAGAGGAACAAAGGCAGCATATAGCATGTACTGTGTTGGGTACATTCAACAATCTCGACTCGGTGTAGGCAAGCGGATCTAGACTATATATGGGTAGTCTGGCTACACCTGTATATAGTGCTAGGCATAACTACAAGAGCCGGAAGAGACTGGTTGAATCGATACCCCTCAACTCGGTGTAAGGATGCTACAAGAGCCAGAAGAGGGGTATGCCCTTGACTGAAGATCAATCCTTATCAACTCGTGTAGGCGAGCAGATCTAGACTATACAGGTAGTCTGGCTACTTTGAATATATAGTGCTAGGCATAACTTCAAGAGCCAGATGAGAATTCCTGATAGCAGATTGTGAGTAGATTCAACATCCTCAACTCGTTGTAGCCGATAAGCTATCGAGACCCGGAAGAGAAGAATTAATGAGTCATATCCTCAACTCGGTGTAGCGGTGCTTGCCACGAGATCCGGAAGAGGATATAGACTAAATTGATAAGTTGAAATTGAAGTTGGGTCTAAATAACCCTATGAATAAATTATTGAGTATTAAAACTTTTGGTGAAGTTAAGTATTAATATATATATGAATGCTTAAAATATGCCCAAAACTCAGGTGCACGACTGAAAGGAGTAAGTCCGAGTTGCCCCAAAATTATAAAACCTGTATATACGGTATTATAACGAACAAGTTGAATGATAAATCTTATATATTGCCTAATATATATGATGTCGTTTATGAAATAGATAGTTCAAACCAAATGTTATCATATTAATATGAATGACACTTTATGTACCGGTGTATACGTGTATAACAACAATCCTATACTTATATATAGCTGTACACCCCTATCACTTCAAACGTTAATATTGCCATCAAATACGTATACTGTACACATGGCTATAGGTCATATGAAGATAAATTTGGATGATCTCATGGTGACTGTCCAATTAGGTAAAACTGCTGTATGACTATTGACAGACTAGCTATATGTGGTTTATGTAGCTAGCGTACGCGTAGATCATCTATAAAAGGCCTGTTCGACTACTGTCCATCGTTATGTCTAACCTGATACAAGTGATGTTTGAGCGTCTCTAATAGTGTCTATTGGTGTCCTTATGTATCTACAGTACGTGTCCGAGGACCATCGACCAAGTGTCTTTATTAAGTGATCCTCCGTATGAACTTTGGCCGCTGAAGTAGCCGCCCCGATGCGGAAAGAATGTCCATTATAAGCACTAGAATCAATTCCGACACATTCGAGAGTATGTTTCAACATAGCTATAAATGTGGACCTAGACAATGCTTGTCCCCTATATAGTGTTCATGAAGAGTGGGTCTGTTGGTTCTGGCCTTTCGCGCATTCTCTCTGGCATATGGTGTAGGGGCAAATATGATGGTTGGTTCGGAATAACCTTTTGATAACGCCTTCCCTGAATGGGTCTGTTTTTGACCTTTCAAAGTAAGTAATATGCTGTCTTTAGCCACCGTTAAGTCTTTGATACAAAGGTGTATGGAAGGATCAAATATCTGTCCGACACTGTGAACTCGCCACATCTTAGAAAACCAAAAAAGGCCACTAAACACACAGTTTCCATCGTAAGGTCCCTTTCATGTTTGTTGAGGTAGGAGCAAATTCTCTCTAGTACTTGAAAGGTTATTGGATGTCTTGGGTTAGCTTTTCGCACTTGTAATCGTTTAACCCCGTTAAGAATAGTGTAAAGTCGAGGCATCTCCTGTGCATGTGGATATACTGTGTTGTTCTGTGACACATTAATCGAATACCACAAATGTAGAGTTTAATGGTAGCATATGATATGTTACTACTAAAACAGTATGCGACAAACTGTATAAGATAGTTCTCTGACACCGGTAGACTAGCTAAGTGTACACTCGCGATAAGTCCTGATACTAATAGAAACTGAAGATACTAATCGAATCCTGAGGCATATGACCGCCTGGTACTAGGAGCTATATATGCTGTCCACAGCTCTTGAATTACCGGGTCGAATCCCACAGAACTTGTGTAGGTGGAGGTACGTTGCAAGGAAATGGGGCTGCTTCCGATGCCAGCTGTCTGAACCTGGTCATCTGTAACCGAGATAAAGCATCTGCAATGTTATTCATACGACCGAGAACGTGCTGAGATAAAACAGTGTATGTATTAATAGAGGCACACAAGGTGAGGCTACGAACTAATGGCATGATGTGGGGAGATTTCGATCTGCCTTTATGTAATATCGCTACTGTTGCTGAATTGTCGCACATGAAGACGATACGTTGTCCTACCCACAGGTGACCCAAAATCATGGCTGCTACGACGATAGGGTACAATTCTTTGAATGCTATCGACAATTCAGAGGTAGCTGCGAACGGATTGTGCAAATCAATGGGCCACTCCTCCGCGAACCAGAGGCCCTTGAAGTACCCCCCGTACCCGAGAGTACCTGATGCATCAATGTACAGACGCAGTTCATCTGATGTAATCACTTTGTTGTTGTAGAAAACCGACACTCCATTCCAGTTAGACAGGAAGTATATCCACATTTTGATGTCTTCTCTGCATTCGTTGTTTATTTTTACATGATAGTGCAGTGCTTTAACTGTAGTCGATAATGTTATCAGATGAGACACAAATGACCGTCCTTGAATTACGACACGGCTGGCGAAATTGAGGGGACCGAGGAGCGGAAGGAGTTCTCTTTTAGAACACGAATGACGCTGTTGAAACGATTTCTTTTAGAACACGAATGACGCTGTTGAAACGATTTCAAGTATTCAATGATCCTATCAAGTTTGTACTTTGGTAGTCTGGCCTCCATCTTCTCGGAATCCAGTATTATTCCTAATTATTCCATAACCGTCACCGGCCCAGATGTTTTATGTTTTGCCATGGGAATCCATAATCTGTTGAAAATCAGGTGCAACAGGGCTATATTCCTCTACCCACATTTGTGGGGGTGTTCGAATGTGATGAAGTCGTCCAACAAGTGAAGAATATGTTCGATGTTATATTTGTTTTCCGCTATCCAACATACCGCTTGTGACAGATTGTCAAAGATCTTTGGACTGGATCTACATCCGAACGCCAGTATGTTGTAATAATAGTAACTATTCTTCCACTTCACACAAAACATATGGTACTGCGAAGGCCTGATGGGAATGATCTTAAAAGCGTCCGATATATCTGTCTTACACATACTGGTACCTTTCCCAAGCTGAACCAATTTTTTGATCGCTTCGTCTATACGTACGTAAGTGAGTGAGCATGATTCTTTGTCTATTAACTCGTTGACACTTGGGTGCACGTCATCTTGTGGTGCTGATAAGTCTACTATGAGCCTTGGTTTGGCCGAGTATTTCCCGAATGATACCCCTATAGGGCTGACCCGATAGCGTTCAAATGGCTATATGTTGTACGGTTCCTGGAGGGAGCCTTTATCCACTTCCCCCTTTATCAATTTATCCACTACCTCTGGTTGTGGGATGGCTGATTGGAGGTTCCTGCACTCCTTGATTGGTAATTGAATTTTTGAAACGAGGGTATCAAATCCCTGTGTTAATCCTTCACATAAATAGTTCACAAAGGTAATGTCTGGATGTGAGCTAAGCTCCTCCCGCAGTTTGTTGATGTTAACAGGGGTGTTCCCTTGTATATTATTGCCTGTCTGTAGTCATTGATTGTTAGGTTTGTTCTGATTTGAAGTCCCTGTTTTGTTTTGACGGTTCCCATTGTTGTTGTTTCTGCAGTTGTCTGATCCGTGGCTGTTGAATTTGCATGTGGAGCATGCATGATGAAAGAAACAGCCTTCGCCCCGTTGACATTTTCCTGCATTAAAATTGTTGCACAATTCCTTTCCGTTCAATTTGACTTTTTGACGGCCATGACGGTCTGTATTCTTTTCGTTGTGCTGTTGATAGTTTGTGTTATGGTTACGTTGCATTTGGTTCCCATGGAAGATGTTCTTTTTCATTCTCTGCTGTGGACAAAATGCTGTGCTGTGTGATGTGAGGTTGCAAAGTTGGCAGGTGTTCACTCTGGTGTTCCCGACTATCATTGCAAGAAGGCCATTGTCCTTAAGTGACCAGTCCACTTTGGCTATCTTGTCCCTAAACGCTGCGGCTGCCCTGGCTGAGAATTGGCAATGGTAGTCGTAAAATTTCGCCCCATACACGTTTGAGATTTCTATTATGTTGGCCTCGTATCTATCAAGTTCAACTCGCCTATGTGGGGCCCTCTGGCAAACTGTTCTTTTGAATTTACCGAAAGCGGTGATGAACTCATTTATGTTCAACGATTTATTCAATCTCGGATCTTCGGTCTCGTTGAAGATCTTCAACCTTTTTTGTTTCTAGTCTGGGCATAAGAAGGTGGGCGAGGTTGATGTCGTGACCCTCCCAAATCTTTTTTTTTGAGTTTCCCAGAAATGATGTCTATGTGAGGGATAGACTCTAATGAAACCCCGAATTCAGAAATAGGTAGACG